GTTGACAGAAGCGTCATGGGACGCTCCCCAATACGGTGACTGTGAGGCCCCCACTACCGTCCCCACTATGATCGTACTAGGACCCTCATAATTGACATGGTTATAAACTTAATTGGATTCCTAACTCGAGTTTATGACTCTGCTCCGAGCTACCTGGAGGTTGCCCATCCCTGCTGTAGAGAACTGGGTAAATATCTAGAAAAGCCCCCCCCCCCTCCCGCCCCCCTAGAAATTAAATACCGAAAGTCGACTAACCCTCATGTTTACATGAAGAATTAGACAACAAAGGGTCAGGCATTATATCGAACGATAATTAAAGTCGCCAATAAGCCAGTACGTCTGGGATCGTGGAGAAATAAACATGAAACTCAGTGAGGTCTATAGAATACGTGGAAACTACGAAAAGCTCGTGGAATTCTTAGGTAATTGCAAGGTGTTACTCTGTGAGTTGAAGTGTCTTAAGTGCAGTGGAATTATGGTGGGCAACGATGCGCGGGGCATGTTCAAGTGTAGAAAAATGACACAAAAATATGTATTTCATAAGAAAAGAGGCGGCATCAAGTGTGACACCGAATATAGCTACCTACACGCATCCTGGTACTATAGAATCCACATCCCCTTGGCCACGGCCGTGCGATTTATGGGGATCTACCTCCTATTAATGCATTCTCCAAAACAAGAATTCTGAGAATTCGAACTCGGACTTTCACGACAAACCGTAGTGTATTGGCCCAACTTTGTTAAAGAACTAATGATCGATTAGTGTGAAGATCAGGCCACCACGTTGGAAAGACCCAATAAAATAGTGGAAATCGATGAAACCAAAGTTGGTCATAGGAAGTATAACCGAGGGTGCATTATTGAGGGGCAATGGGTGTTCGGTGCGTACGAGAGGGAGTCTAAATCCATTCTCATTACCACAGTAAAAGATAGAACGGCAGGATCACTTATGACAACCATCAAAGCGCGGATTTTACCAGGAACAACTGGCATTTCGGATCAGTAGAGATCATATGCTCGACTGAATGGCAAAGGATACTATCACCTCACCACAAACCATTCAATCAATTTTGTAGGCCCGGCAGAGTATTAGGTGTTCATTTTGAAAATATTTTCTCTCCTTTCCATCCATTGTTTTTTTATGGTCTCCAGCTCTAATGAAAATCTTCACAACGTAAATATCTTTTTTGAATTTCGCTAGCCAGGTCATTAGCCTACGAATCGAAGATGCACCTTATTACACATAAAAATAATCTTTATTTGGGTTGCACATGTGTAATTAGTATGATTTCACTTGTCCATGGTGACGTGCTTTTTAGAATGATTACTCAATTCCTTTAAAACGTGTAGCTCTTGTCTGAGGATTTCTTGATGCTCAGCCTTTATTTCCTCGTCGTCCGAACTTAAGAGTGTAAGAACTAGATCTGAAAAATATTTTGTTAGTCACAAAACTATTCAAGTGAGACGTATTCATTTGATTTTTTTACTCGTAAAATTATAAAACTTGCCTTCGGCAAGGTCCTTATACAGATTTTTTCGTGGTTAACATACAGTTGGATGCAAAGTCCCAGGACAACGCGACTTTATATATAGGTACTTGGATGTTTAAAAAATATTGACCTGAGATATACTTAAATTTACTTATTCTAAAATTCGTTTGATTCTATGTTTTGAAAGGATAAAAAAATGCATGCATGTAATCCGTAACTTACCATGATATTTTACTAATTTTTCCATAACCTCATCTTCTAAATGAGCCTGTAGGAAATCAAGAATTGGAGAAACGTGCCTTCCGGACATGTGGAGAGCAGATTGCGTTGTGGCTGTGAATAAAATACTCGTAACTAAATGTAAAGCAAGAGCAGGATCATTAGTCGAGCTCAATTGCTCCAGTAATGCTTGCTTATGTCCTAACATCAGAGCCTTTTCTCGTTTTTTCTCAAGCTTTCTCGACACCAAACAGCAAGCCACCATCGTCGGTTCAACATCATTTAAGAATTCCTCAACAGATCCTTTTGCAGCGGCCTTATGAAGATTAGTCAGATGCTCTCTTATGTCATTCGGTAATTCCAGGAGGATCTTCTGTCTTATCTCTGCCGTTAAATTAGCCGGACACTGAATAACGTTCTGCTGCGCAGCGAATTTGATCATGTCAATAACAAAATCCACTCCCAAAGTTCTCATTAAATACTTGGATAGTGCATTCTGTACTTCCTTATTCGGAATACATTTAATTCCCTTTTCAAATATTCTTATATTTGATATTAACATGTTCAATTTTTCCTCAACTTCGCTTATATTATTGGATTTGGTGGTTTGGGCCAACCGCTCAGCTATATTTACAGCTTGTTTATTTAATTTTGGTTGTAGATATGCCGTCAATTCATCCACAAAATTATGGATGTCAGAGAAATTTCCCCCTTTATCCAATTCTTTCCTAATATCCTCTGCAGTTAGAAGAGTTAATTCAGACCTTTCATTGATTTTCATTCCTTCATTGTCTGAATCGTCGTACTGAATTTTCACAGGATTATATTTCTTTTTTGTGGACTTCGTCTTGGTTTCTCGTCCTTGGCTACCACCGCCCGCCTTTCCAATCGATGCTTTCTTCCTTCTGTCATCTTTCTTCTCATTTTTCGTGAAATCTAAATACTTTGAGGACTTTATTTTCTTCACACTAATGTATTTGAACCATTCACCGGACTCGACAGCCTCTATCGCTTTCGCTTCTGCTTTATGTTCCAGAGATTTGGTAAGGAGATCTAAGAATGCATTTGAAACTATAACAGTTGTTGCAAATATTTGAAAATCTGCTTTACAACGTTTTTGCGAATCTTTTAAAATTTTTTCTATATCCTTCGGGCTAAAAACGGAGGGCAATAAAGGGTAGATATCAATAAACGAATTGGAGGCCATAGTTTCTTCGATATTGGCATCCACCTGGTCGATTATTGGAGGACCAACCGTGACACTATCTAGAAGAGTCAGATTCTCCCGAGCGAAGTGGCGTTTCACGAAGTTTTTGGCATCCTGAATTCCGAGACGTGTGAGAGCATCATATTCTGGTGACCATAGAATTATATTAAAGTTAATATATACATTAGGAAGCAATAGAATCATATTTAGAAAACGCTCGATTTTCAAAAGAGTCAATTTTTCGGCAATACATTAAAAAGTAAAATCCACCCGCACAAAAAGTTATATATGCGTGAAATATATCTAAAAATATATATCAAATATATGCCAATTATATATGGCATATATATGCTTATATATGAAATATATTCAACATATATCTCATTAATATTTCCTATACGACATTTTTGACTGATTTTTTATATCAATATATATAAGAACGATATATGTTCATTTTATATTCAACCAATTTTTAATATACATGTCAGGTAAATTTCATATATATTGAAACATAAATTGCACATATACGATAAATATATGTGATCGATTATATATTTTTTGTGGGCCAAAATAAATTTGCAATATATGTGAAGTATACTGGGGACCGACCGGAGATCTATAAAACATATAATCCCATTAGAATTTCATATAAAAAATGACATATATTTGACATATACTTCGAATACAACATTTTTGAGCGAAATATATGTAGTATGATTTGCATATAGATAGATAGATAGATATTTGAGCATATATTTTATTCGTGCAGGCAAGGGAGATCTTCGAATAAATATTTTTCTTTAATATCTAACATATTTCCGAAAATTGATCATAAAGAATTTGTAATAGACAGGAGAGAATAAGGACTATGGAAGCGACGGATATGTTTAACTCCATCGATTACCAGAGTTTATAACGCCTTTAGCAATATTTCAGAGTGAAATCTTAAGGCGCCCTGAATTGCAACAATAATAAAGTGAGAGTGAGGTGAATTGAACGAAAGGCAGGGTGCACTTGAAATAACAACACCCATATAGAACAGAGGTGGGCAACCTCAGCTCTCGGAGCTACTCCAGCTCCCGGTCTCCATTAGACAAAATTGTCCAAAGCAGGGCTGGACAACCTCTGCTCTGAGAGCAAGTCGTGCTCTCGCCTTCTATTACTATATGCCAAAGGGTGGACAAGAACCTATTGCAGCGAGTAACCAAGGTCCCAAAGGCTCTTCTCCTCTGCTGAAATTCGCCGAAGTGGTGGTAACGTTTAAGAAATGGATAAAAGGAAAAATGTCGCTGAATGAAAGGAAAAGCGGGAAAGTGAGTAAAAAATGAAAAAGGACAAAATTTTTTTTCTATTTCTACCATAAATAGAAATAGCATGATCACTGATTATTTCGATATAACATTGTCAAACTGTGCATCGAAATTTAATCGTTGAAAAATCTTCGTCAATTAATAAATGCTAAAGAAACATTACTAATAATAAAAATTGAATTTATTCGTCCCACTCAATTTCTCAGAAAAACTGGCCCTATGTGTGATCTCGTAGCAAGCGTGTGGACGACTGTCTGACTCAATAGAATAAAGATTATTCAATAAACACAAGTCTACAAGATCGATTCATCTCAGAAATTCCGCACATTTCGTACAGAAATAGGAGAAATATATAATATATAAAATAGTTAGCTTTGAAGAGAAAGGGAGGAAGAAGGAATGAGAGCAGGGAGTTCCGCTAAGTATATCAGGCCTCTCCACCAACTCTTCCTAATTAAGCTCGGGAGCCGAGGCCGAGTGAAGTGAAGCGAGGTTGCCGAACCCTGGTCTAATCCCCTTCAACGGTGAACCATATCATTCAAAGAGGTAATCACTCCTCAAATCTGGTGGACAGACGATATGAAAATTTTACCAAGTCCCATGACGATTTGAAGAAAAATTCATGAATTTCATAGAACGCTTTGAAATTGCATTCCATATTCATAAAAAAATATTGAAGGAAAATTCACGCACGAATCAAACAAATCATACTCGAAAATACAAAGAATATAAATGTCGTTAAAATCTTATGAATTTCCTTAAATGTTCTGGAAATTCTTGGAATTTTGAAATCTTCAAAAGTAGAGTACTTGCTTTTTTTTAAAGTGATTATCTCCTCGACATCATCATTTTTATGTTTAGCAAGTGAACCTAATCATAGTTTTCAACAATGCTTAACCCAGATAACAGTCCCCGTGTATTATACAACCCCCCCCCCCCCTTCTCTCTCTTTTACATAATTCGTCCTCCTAACTTCACCCTCTTCTCTGCTTAGGGTAACATCTTCCCTTTGGTCTATCTCGCCAACTGGCTAGCCTTAGCCTCCTTATGAGTAATTATGAAATGATAGGAAGTACAGATTGTACATAGTAAAATTATTATCTGTGGACCGTGATATAAATTAATTTATCATGCTGGAATTCACTGTGTGTGATTAATTACCCCCGTTTCTCTATTTCAAGTCCACCGCCGCAAGTGTAAAAGTGAATCAGTGATAATACATATTATCGTAATTTTAACGGAATGTTTTGAATAATAATTCCTTCCAAGGTTACACTCTATGAAAAGCTATTACTGCATATATTCGAAATAGAATCCCTCTGTTCGATAATCACGTTTTGATTAAAGTCATTGCTTATGTTTTTTTTGTGTATAAAAGAAAGTGTTAATAAATAGAATAGAATATTATATGAAAGCATTTTCTGGCCGTCTTAAGCATGCTGAAAATTTTTTATTTACCAAGATAGCCGTTCTGTTTGTAGAAATTATCCACCCACTCCGATTGGCTCTTCGAGTAAATAGCCGGCACGTAAATTCCATTACTACCTTGCTTACTGGAAATTACGCCTGGTATTTGGATAGCTCCGTGTAGAGTATCAAGAATGGCTGTGAAAATAAAATGAATCCACTATAAATATCGACCTTAAATCTATTACACGGATTGTAAATTCAAGTTTTAGCTTATATAGATTTACAACTATTTCTAAATCTTAACATATACATGACGTTCCACATGTTTGTTTCCAATTTTAAATGAGATTGGGAAGCAACAACCATTTCCACATTTATGACATTCATAATTAGCTTTGCCGAAACCTTTTCATTATTCCAATCACGAGTTAGATTTTTGGGCAATCAACAATTATTCGACTTGACAAATATTCAAAATCTTTTTAATTTCTTATTAAAATTTAAACACGTAGTCTTCAGACACAAGTTGGCATGGTAATTCATTTTAACATTATTTATCATATTTTTGATTACATCATTTTTTAAAAAGTCTGTTGATATTTAAAACATAATACAAGTCAGCCTTAAGGGCCGGGTGGACTATCTATCGAGCGTCATCTTTTATTTAAATTTTATCTTTTTAACCTAAAATACATAAAAATTTGGGATAAGTTTTGAGGTCACGAAAATCACTGGAGTTGGCATAAAAAAATAATGAAAAAAAAGAGGAAAAAATTTTGAAGGGCGCTAAAGAGCGATAT